ATCAGGAGACTTGATAAGCTGTAAAGATAATGTAATTTACCAGAATATACCCTTAATTCAATTATAATAGTAACAGGAAAGCTGACCATATCCAAACTGTTAAGTTCAGCAATGCATTTACCTTTCTGAAGAACTCTTATTTTCTAGACTGTTAAACTATTGCATTAACTTTAAGATTATAATGTTACAGAAAAGGTGACTATAAATAAATTTCACTAATTTGTCTTCAAAGTGGAAACATGGATTTCAAAATAAGAGGAATATTATTCCTGATAAATTTCTCAGTCACTTAATGTAAACACTTTTACCACTGGTATCTTATCCAACAATACAGTTTTCCACCTCTTTGGTTAAATATTTTTTTAAGTTATTATTTTATTTTAAAGGAAGCTAAGGGGGAAATGCCCCTAAGACTTCGGGTAAAGTACTACAAAATGTTTTGTTTACAGTTGAACCTGAAATTAATCAATTTCTGATCCAAAATGTCCTCATACCGAGAGTAACATTTTATCAGGTCATAAGTCAGCAAAAATTTAAGCTCTATTCAAGACAACCAGTACAAATTGATGGTTAAACAATCATTTATAGTGCCTACTCTGTGTAGGTGAACTGCATTGTACTATCACGCACTATAGTCAAACTTGGAGGCTAAGTAGCTTTTAGTAAATTTCAATGGCAAACAAAATCCCTAGAGAGATCATTTACTTAAATTTGATATAGTATAACCCAACTTTTTAAATTATGGCATTAAAATTAGTTTAATTTCATTTGCATTACTGCATTTCAGTAAATAGCACACACTTAAAACTTCCAAATTACTCTTATAAACATTACCTAAAATAATACATATAAACCCAAACAGATCAGTAATTTGAAAGTACTGCTTCCTATAATGCATTTAGTAAATATAACTCTTTATACATCTACTATACAAGTTCAATTTTTTTTTCTTCACTACTACACTTCAACATATTAATATAAAAAAAGCCATGTTGGAATCAATATACTTCCAAATGTGGAATAAATATAGGAACATATGGAACATGGCATTTCCAAATATTCTTAATTTAGACTGAATTCAGCATTCCTCCTCTTTGTATTTCTAAAGTTAATATATAATGGTTAAAGTAACACTATGAGTCTCAAACCGAAGGAGAAAAATCATGGAAATTCAGTCAAGTAATATGTATTATTCATATTTTCTTTTAAAAAAAGCAAAATACAGCCGTTGTCAACTTTCCAAATGAGGATAAATTTATAAAGTACTTATCTTATAAATTACTTTTCCTCAGCACTCTACATACACTTTAGTCAAATATAATCAACCACTTCTTTAGCAAGGATCCTTTTTTTAAAAAAAGCATTTGAATGAAGGATTTAATAAATACCTTAGTTATAATTTTGCAATTAAAAAAACAACAACTTTAAAACATGAAAGCATAATGCCATTTGCTTAACTATTAATTTTGACCAGCTTCTGTAATTTTTGTATATGTAATTTCATGAAACATGTTGCTGGTTTCAAAGGATTTTCCATACTACATTAGCTCAATAAATGATATACATATAAGTTATCTGATAATGTGGCTCATTATTTTTTAACACATATATATGCTTGCATCATTATTTCTAACTAAACAAAAAGGAATTGTTTATATTACACAATAATATATATGGCAACATAACAGCCCTTCACCACCCTCCAAAAAAGAATAATGCCATTGCTTAATTTTTTTTAGAAGTCTCAAAAAATTTTTATTTAGGAAAAATATTCCCTTCAATGTTTATTAGATAACGAATCGTATTTAAATGAATAATTTACTTTTAATTTTCTGTGTAGACCAATCCAAAAATATGTTTCCTTCCTTTCAAAAGTGTACTTCATTCTGCATGGCAGATAAAAATTAATACTTAACTTCCTTCTACTGTAAAAAAAAATTACTGATATTTTCCTTATTATGCATTAGTCATTTCGGTATGGATTCCTATAGTACTGTTGTTAGAAAAAAGGGAAAAAGTTAGTAACGAATATGGACACAAAGTGGAAAAAATTGTAAACGATAATTCTAGTTTATGAGGAAATATATTAAACATTGTTTAAATATTAAACAGCAAAACACTCCTTTTATATTAAATAAATAATTCAGATTTGTAATTGTCATTATGGGATATAGGCCCTAACCACCAATAAGGGTGATGGTCTAGTGCAAAGGGTGACCACAAAATAAAAGCGTGAGAGAGAAAAGAAAAAAACACAACATATTTAATACTGATACTGTTTTCAATAACAAATGTTATCACTGATTCTCAATCCTTCGTGCACATCAAAATTACCTGGATATCTTTTAGAATCTAAAACAATTTAAATCAGAATCAGTAGGGGTAGGATTCAGGTTTCATTCAGTAGTTTTTGAAGCTCTGATTATGATTCTAATGTGTAGTTAGAGTTGAATTAGTCAGGATTGGTTGATTTAAAACTAGCTATGACCTGACTTAGAATGTCCTATGAATACACACAATGCAGCATTTACAAGTTGAGTAGACAAGGGAATCTCCAGTTATAGTAACTTATCTGTTAAATCAAAGTTATTAATGAACAGTTTAGTTCCATTAAAATTTGTTTATGCTTCTTTATTCTCTGTAGTTGTGTTCTCAAACTGCCAAGGCCAAGTACAGTCAAATGACTTTTTAAAATAATAAGTCAGTTACATTGAAAATACATCATCACTCATGCACATAAATATTTAATGAATGTGTACTATGTGCAAGACACTGTACTAAGTGATGGTGTCATGGGAGAACAAATAGGGACTGGCTCAAAACTGTTTGTCTTAGAAATTAATGACTATAAAATTACTTATTGTTGTTATTAAGTGCTGTTGAATCGGTTCTGACTCATAGCAACCCTGCACAGGGTTTTCAAGAAGCAACTGGTGGGTTTAAACTGTGGACCTTGTGGTTAGCAGTCTAGTGTGTATCCTGCAACACCACACCAGGATGCCATAAAATTATATAGACCTAACAGATTGCACTACTCTATAAAAATGAAAGCAAGAACATTTTAAGGGTCAGATTTAAAAATTCATGGCATAGCATATTTGAACTTTTCCTGTTGTTCCTTATAGTATTTCCAGAAGCCTCTTAGTATACATAAGGCCAATTTAAAATGGAAAACAAACCCTGTTCAAATAAATGCCCTCAATTTTAGCCTCACTCTATATTAAGTAAATTCATAAATGACATTAAATATAAATACTAAAAATTTTTATGGAAAGGTAGTTCATGTCCGTTTGTAGTAGTCTTAACAAGTAATCATACATTGAAATATAAGATTGCTAAACCTTGACTATATCATCACAGAGAAAGTTCATACAATTCAGTTACTCCTGAAAATTTGGAAAACAAACTTATATACTGAGAAATTTTAATGTGAAGATAGTTTCAGTTTTCTTTTATTTTCAGAGAAGATGGCAGAATCTGTTCAAACCTTGTAAATATCTAAAACCTAGTCATTTAAAATGCTGACTGTTTTTCTTCTGAAAGGCTTTGTGAATTTCAGATGAATAACTATCTTCTCTATTTACTATTGGTACAGATTTATGTGGTTACTTAGAAAATAAATAAAAACTTTTCATTTCTATGCTAGCATTAGACTTGAGAAACAGATTAGGTAATGTCAACTTAACAAATTAAAAAGTGCTAAATGTTTACAAAACATTATGCTAACCTTAGAGATTACTGAGAGAAGAAAAAATGACATAAGATTGAATGATAAGCAATGATGCTAATAACAAAACTCATTAGGGAGCTAAAGGCTTATTAGGAACCAAAGGTGAAATCAAGACACAATAAAAATGCTCATTTGTTGTACCTTGGATGCAACAATCTCGTCTCTAAAATACAGAAATAGTAAAATATTTTACTGAGTTAAAATATAAGTTTTATATTTTAGACCATATTAACAAGCACATAAAAAATACCAGTGTTTTTATCTTGTTTCTGTTCAGACACTTAAGTAAATGTGTTCTTTGGTGCCTGGGAAAGTCTATCAATATTTAGGGATAATGAGAGATAATAACTCCAATATTGACATTCCTAGAAATAGAAGACTAAAACCCTTATATACCATATAAAATAAGAAGAAAAGGTAAATTTATGAGGAAAGATAAAAAAGTTACTTTTACATTGCAGTAGGACTGATACATACCCCCCCTTCTTCCAAACTATACTCTGGCTCCCAAAACAAAATGTACTAGAGCCTATTAGGTTTTTAATCTAGTTTTGAGATTTTTCAAGTGGAAAGACATCACAGATAGAAATATATCATCCTAAATTTTAAAATCATCAAAGTAAATGAGAAGAATACACATTCACTAAATGTATTCATTATAAGTACAGAAGTCTTGAATATGACGAACGGTTCAGCCAAAGCTGAACTGTTCTTGATTTTTCATTATTATTTTTTAAATAAAAAGAGTAGATATAGTATACATGTACAGGTTGACATTTTGAATCATTCAAAGTAGTCACATTCCTTTACTCAGTTTTGGGAAACACTCCAGAGACTAAAATTTAATACCATTCATAACACAGAAGTTCAATAAAAAGAACAGAGCAATGAAAAACCAAAAGCAAGATGGCTTAGGAAGCCTATGACCTCTAAATATACACACATTTGTAACCTGTATTTATTTTCTAAAGAAACAAGTTTTAAGTAATGCTAATTGAAACAAAGGAGAAAAAACTTCTATCAAAATATACAATTTCCATTACAGACTAGAAGGCTAATATTAAAAAAATAGTCGTAATCCAAAAAGTTTGCTTATATGGATGATAGGCATCATCCCTTTGAAGCACAAAGCATCAAATAAGGTCTTATAAAAGATCAATTAGTGACCTTCATTTGAAAGTTCTTGATAAATTCATGAAGTTTGAGTATCAGTCTTTATACAAGGTACATCCAAGCTTCTTATGTCCAGAAAAAGAGGAAACCAAGTAATTCAGAATCTCAAGTGGGATTTATGCTTTACCATGTACCTGAAAAATAATAAACATTATGTTACTAATACTTACAAAAATTTTAAGAGTACATATAAAAATAACTTGGCATTTATTAAAACTTAACATTGCCAGCACACACACACAAAAAGTGTTTTCTTTAAAAACCTGATTCTGTGACCTTTGGAAATATAAAATTTCCTGAAGTAGGCTTTATACTGTCATTTCACAATAGCGTCTGACTGACTACAATGATAAATGTTTCTCTTTAAAATTATTATCACGCAATTGTTGTTTTAAGTGCTGTAGAGTAGGTTCCTACTCATAGCTGACCTTGCAGTCCTGTGGGTTAACTCCACAGTGCTACCTCAAACTCTGACTTTGAGGTAACCTGTAATATGCAATTAGAAATTTTAACCAAGAAAGTTTTAAAGAAATCTTCAAAATGAGAACTGATTCAATGCTACTAACTGTGATCATATATTGCTCTTAAACTTTTAAATTACAAAACTGTTGTTTTTGTAAAGGGCTTTAAGAACTCTACTAATACAAGCAAATAAATTTAAAAATTCATTGCCTTTAATGATCTATCCAGAACTCAAAAAAATCTATCAGTGCTGGGAAAATACATAGGAAATCATTTAATCTAAACCCATGGACAAATAGAAACTTGAAGTTCAGAAAGATCACACAATTAAGAACCAGGTTACAAAATGAAGATTAAAACCTAGGTCTTCTGAGTCAGAGTAGGAGGCAGTTTCAAAATGTTCATGGAAAAATCCCATTATCTTTTAAGTCCATTTGCCATGAACTTTTTGAAGCTCCTTCATATATTGTTCTTCTTCCAGACTATAAATCCTTTTTCCATCTGTTTCTAGAGTCAACATATCAACAAGATATTTATTAATTCTCTATTGTGAATCAGCATAAAATTAGACAACACTGGAAGAAATCAATTAGGGATTAAGGCCCACAACTTGATATAATTTAAAATCTGAAGACAAGACAAGCAAATTATTACAGCAAAACATAAATGAGTGTACTTTAGGAACAGAATTACCTATCCAATGTTTCCCAGAATCGTAAGAAAACTGGTCTATCCAAATGACGTTTATGATAGCTGAGTTCTAATACTGTTACATCCCATTTCTGAACATTTGGATCTAGACGAACTTCATCATATTTGAGATGGAAGGCTTTAACTATATGGGAAAAATAATATTTTATTAACGCTATAGTAAAAAATATAAAAACATTTTACAGAAGAATAAAAAAATATATAGACATTAACTAAAAAGTAAGTTCAATTTTTTTCTGACAATTAAATCCATATTATAACCAGCTGATGTTTTTAAACAGATGCTAGGCAGTGTCTTCAAAACTCTCAAGTTAACAAATAATTACTGAATGTTTATATATGCCAGTAGAGATTTAAACAAAGAACTAGGTTAAGACAAAATGCATACAGTTGAGTGAAGCATAAAGACTGAAGAAAAAAAACAAAAAAACACAACAACATTAAAAAGCTACCTAAATACAATAAGAGTAATGGGATATTATAGGACCATGAAATAAGAGTAGTGGAATATTATTTCCCCAGGTCATGGAATCAGAAAAAACTTGAATAAGCACTTAAAGCCCAAAGACTAAGAATTAAGACAGCACAGAAAAAAAGCAATCCAGTTAGCAGAAAGAACATGCTCAAAGAGAAAATCGTTTATTAAAAGAATTGAAAAAAATTAATTTATTTGCATTATGCAAAATAATCAGAAGTTCAAAGCAATACTAGTCTAGTAGGGCTTATAAAGGACCAAAGTTATGGCAGGGAGTAGTTAACACAATTTAGTAAATCTAGAGGAAGAAGAGATGGATTTCCTCAATTGGGTAGAAGCTATATGGCTGGCAATAAAAAGATTGAAAATATGACTGGCAGCAAGCGAGAACAGGACTTACTGACAAATGTTGAAGAGAGAAAAAGAAAAAATTGCAAAGACATACCTAACAATTTGCAAGTAAGTGTCCAATATATATCATGCACTACTGTAGGCACTGAGGATATAGAAGTGACCAACACAATCTCCACTCTCATGGTCTTATATTCTAACAGTCAACAAACAGATAAATATACAATATAACTTCAGATGGCATAATTACTATTCAAGTAAAATACAGCAGGGTAAGAAGTAAACTGGATGGAGTTATTTACAAAAGGCTTCTCCAGGAGTTAGCTGAATGACATAAAAAAGTTATCTAGCAATAATCTGGGGTAAGGGGACTCCAGGCAGACAGCATTGGAACTTGAAATGAGAGCAAGCTTACACAGTTCTAAAAACAAGTGTAACTTTTAAAATAGGCAAAAGCCTGTATGTAGGCCATTTTGGTTAAGGTAAGGAATCAGAATTCATCTGATTTTAATTTTTAAAAGGTAACTCTTGCTACAGAGTACATAAGAGACTCTAGGGCAAACTTCTTAAAACTGGTGTGCTACAAATAGGTAACAGGCAGCCCATAAAATATTGGCTTACAAACTTTCTTTCCTCCTGGTCATTCAATTGAAACAACCCAGTTAGTTAATTACTGTATTTACAATTCATTTATCATTAGTAGAGTTATATTGTTTTTGTGTACACATGGAAATGTTTAGCTTTCCCACCAATCATCACCAAGTTTGAGAACAACAACAAAAAAAAAACTGAGTTTATTACTTTTCTGGATGTTGCTATTGTTGTTAAGTGCCGTTGAGTCGATTCTGACCCATATCGACCCTGTACAGAGTTTCCAGGGCTGTAAATCTTTACGGGCGCAGAAAGCCTCATCTTTCTCCCGCAGAGCAGCTGGTAGTTTTGAACTACTGACCTTACGGTTCGCAGCCTGATTCGTAACCACTACGCTACCAGAGCTCCTATGTAATTCGAGTCCTGGTGTAGCACTGTGAGTTAACACGCTGGACTGCAAGGTCAGCAGTTCAAACTCACCAGCCACTCCTCAGAAAACCTATAGAGAGTCACTATGAGTCAATGTCACTATGAGTTGAATCAACTGCATTTAACAGCAACTGTGTAATTGCTTGTTTCATATTGTTTGCTGGATTGTTGGCTTTTGATGTTAACAAATGGTCAAATTCTTGAAGGAAAACTGGAAACTGGCAACAAGAAGAAGTGGGATGAAACATTGTGGACATTATAGTCAAGGTCATAAAACAAACCATGTATGAACATTTGAACGGAAAACTGGTAAGCTCTGTTAAATCACACATAAAAAAAATTTGGGATGGAAATTAAAAATGATTAATGTGTTTTAAAAAAAAGCCAAGAATCCACAAAGACATTATTTTATACAGTACTTGCTTTTAAAAATAAAAGTCCTTCTACCAGACACAAGAGGAGCATGGTGACGATGTACGATAAACACTGGACTGAAAATAACAAGGTCAGTGGTTCAAACCTACCATCCTCTCCGTGGAAGAAAGATGAGGCTTTCTTCTGCTCCTGCCAAAATTTACAGTTTCAGAAACCCTACATAGGGTCCCTATGAGTCAGAACTGACTTGACAACACCAACTAGACACAAATTATTCATTTTGAATATAGTTATGCCAAGTAATTAAAAAGGACATAGGAAGGACTTCAATTTTTCCACAAACTGATGGAAATGTCCTTATGGCATCAGAAAACTCATTTTCAAATTTTTATCTATGTAAGTAAAAACAGACATTTTTCTATGTGTGAATTTTTAAAGTCACTGAATTAAATGAAAACAACCCACTACTTTTTATTCTGCTTACTAGACTTCATTTTTTTTTTCAATACAATTTGCTTTAAGTCACTCTTAAAATATACATGACTTACATTTGAAACAGACTATGATCTATAGCCATGAAGGCCACAACTACACTGATTTCAATAAATTTAATCTTATGTATTTTTTCACCTAGAATACATGACATTTTAAATTAAAACTGGATTTTTAGAGTTGTAAACACAGTCCAAAAAGTTTACACCAATAATGAAGAAACATAAGAAAGTTTCTCTCACCAGACAAAACAGTTTATTCACATTAAGCAATGATGCCAAGCAAACTTAAGCTAACATATTACCATAAAACATTTTATTCCGAATAAGAATTAAAGTTTTTAACCTGTATGATAAGGAAATAATCTGAGAAGCTGGGTTCTATGAAAAAATGTGGCACCATGAGGAAGACTCATTAACAATCTGCGATATGCAGATGATACAACCTTGCTTGCTGAAAGCGAAGAGGACTTGAAACATTTACTGATGAAGATCAAAGAGCACAGCCTTTGCTATGGATTACATCTCAATGTAAAGAAAACAAAAATCCTCACCACTGGACCAATAAACAACAGTCTTATCAACAGACAAAAGACTGAAGTTGTCAAGGACTTCATTCTTCTTGGATCAACTATCAACACTCACGGAAACAGCAGTCAAGAAATCAAAGGACATACTGCATTAGGCAAATCTGCTGCACAAGACCTTTTTAAAGAGTTGAAGAGCAAAGATGTCAGCTTGAGGACTAAGGTGCACCTGACCCAAGCCATGGTATTTGCATATGCATGCGAAAGCTGGACAGTGATTAAGGAAGACTGTAGAAGAATTGATGCTTTTGAGTTATGGTGTTGGAGGAGAATATTGTAAGTGCCTTGGGCTGCCAAAAGAACCAATAGATCCATTTTGGAAGAAGTGCAGCCAGGGTGCTCCTTGGAGGCCAAGATGGCCCAACTTCGTCTCTCATACTTGGGACATATTGTCAGGAGGGACCAGTCGCTGGAGAAGGATATCATGTTTAGTAAGGCGGAGGGTCAGAGAAAAGAGAAAGAACCCCAACGAGATGGATTGACCAAGTGGCAGCATCGAAGGACTCAAACGTGGTAACAGTAGTGAGGTTGGCCCAGGATTGGGCAGTGTTTCATTGTGCTGTGCATAAAGTCGCTATGAGTTGGTACAAACTCGATGGCACCTAACAACAAGAAGAATTAAAAAAAAATGAAATAAATTTGTTTTTAAAAAACCAGTTGTATGGTGACACAAAGAATACTAAAGGTAAAATACTTCACACAACTGAGGTTTGATCACTTTTGCAAATTGCACTAATCTTGTCAATATTATTTTTTGGTGAGGGAAGAAGTAAAAACAAAACATAAAAAACAGGTGTCCTTTTCCATAAAATTTAATAGATACACTGAGTATATAAGATGACAACGAGACAAAGCAATTCAGAAAATTACAAACTTTTCATCAATGGTGGTGGTTGTTAAGTGCTGTCAAGTTGGTTCCAATTCACAGCAACTCTGTATATGGTTTCTGAGGCTTTAAATCTTCCAGAGTAGAAAATCTCATCATTCTCCCCTGGCACGGCTAGCGGACTCAAACTTTGTACCTTGTGGTTTACAGTCCAGTGCTTATTGTATGGAGCCACTGCGTTCCCTCATCAATGGTTAAGAATTTGAAGAAATCGTTTTTCTAAAACTCTTGATTAAAATATCGTCATAATTTCAAGCATAAATCATATTGTTTTTTAAAGTTTGTAAACCACAGTCACAAGCTCAAATGTCTCATTAAAATTTTTAAGATTTTTTTTAAATGATGGCAAGGTAGAAGAAGCAACAGTAAAAGCAAGGAAACCAACTAAATGCAAAGAGAAAATTTACTCTAATTTTTTACTTAAAGCAGTTTAGTTAAAGAGCTAATTAAAGATGAAAACAAGAAAAGAAAACTTTGGGGAAACATAAGATAATTCCTTTTAATGTAACAATGGGATATCTCACAGAGGAGCTACCTGGTAATCAATAAGCTATGCAGTCTCAAGAGTACTAAGGCAGAGACATAACTTTTAGAATAACAGAATATTGATGGAAACAGAAAGTTTAAAAATTTGAGAGGGTACTCAGAGTTGATAGAGAAAAGAAATGTAAACATAAATATGTAGATGCTAGTCAAAGGAAAATTAGCAAAAAAAAATCTGAACTACACCATCAGAAGTCCTAGGAAAAGAACATTTCATCAGTGTCTAATTCTGGTAAGAGCTCATAAACATTCAATAGTGGGGACACGGATGACTTTGGTGTAAATAGTTTCACTGAAGAGCAGCAAGAGCTGACTACAGTGTACCAAAGACTGAACAGAAAGTGAATTAGTCTTTCAGAAGATTATCAGGTTATTGTTTCAGAAGTGAAACTAAGTCTTTCAGAATATTATCTCCTAAAAAAGAGAGAGGAAGGTGTGAGGTCAAGGGTGGGGTTTGCTTAAAATGAAAGGAACAGGATATTTTTAAATAACAATAATGAGTCAGCAGAGAAGGAATATTGAAGAGAAAAAAACTAACTCATGGAAGAAAATAATTGATAAACTGGAAAAATGATAAAGCACAACACAAAACAATAAAACTCTCTAAGCTTTTATCTAGAACTGTGGAAGAGAAATTATTTTAACAAAAACAAAAATACCACATATTCTTATTAAAATATACAAAGAATTGGTATTGTAAAGACTTTCTAGTTTGTTTTTTATCAAGATTACTGATTGAACACGGCAAGCATGTGAAACACATTCCCATTTACCAACACTGTACCATCATTAAAATTTTCATTCTCTGAAGTAAATATTATAATTATACTCTATACCCTTTATCTTTCTATTCATCAGCTTTTTAATCCAGTTTCAAAAATAATGCAAAAAGCTATCATGTTACAACTATTAGAACTCATTTTCTAAAATGAATGAAGGTAAGAAGAGCAAATATTTAAAAACATTTAAGTTTGGGATGCCTGGGAAATAGTAATACTGTGGACAACAATAAAAAAAAGGTTTTCCTTAAGTATAAAGGTAAAAGAACAAGAAGGGTTTCACAGAAGCATAATCAATATTCATAATTCCTAAAGTTATCATTTCTAATTAACATTTTTCATGAGTTTGTTTTTGGTTTTAATTAATCTGATATTACTAATTTAATTAAATAGTCCAATTACATAGACTATTTCTTCCAGCAAATAAGCAGGCCAAATTAAATCTCCTTTTGTTATAGCAACTTCTATCGATTTATGTTCAGTAAAAGATATATTGTTGCTTTTAAGCACCATCGAGTCGACTGCTGTCCCATAGCAACCCTGTATAGGGTTCCAAGGAACACTTGGTGAGCTTGAACCACCGACCTTGCAGTTCTAACGGTTTTGCAGTCTGTCACATTAACCCACAGCGCCACAACAGGACTCCAGTAAAAGATGTAAGTTACATTAAATCGTTTGTTTAACATTGAGTGCCTCTCCGATGCCTGGTAATAATGGCGATTAAGGCTGGTATCAATGGTGAGTAAGGCTGTTCCTATTAGGGAATTTGCATTTTAGCCAAACAAGGGTTATAATAAAGACATAAAAATAGGACAACATCAAACAACAATTAAGTGCTACCAAGAAAATAAATATATTGCAAGAGGTGATGATTATTCAATGTAGGATGGTCAAAAACAATTCTCTAAAGAGAAAACACATGAGTTGAAACCTGAGTGAAGAGAGAAACAATCATGCCACACTCATTGCTGACAATAAGAAAAGCTGGTAAATGCTTTACGGTACTTTAACTACTTTAAAGCAAAGGTATTTCTGAAACTATTTCAAAATTGGTTTTAATTTTAACAAAAACATATGGGTGTGCAACAAAATTAATGCTTTTTAAATTGCATGAAAAAAATTTTTTTTAAGGAATCGGAAACATTCACTAAGAAACAAGCACACAGAAAATATTAATGTACACAAAATAATTTAAAAATATTTCATAGGTTTAAAAATTACACATATATATGTGTGCATATACATATATTGTTGTTAAGTGCTGTCAAGTCTGTTCTGATCCACAGCAACCCTGTATAGGCTTTCCGAGGAGTGACTGGTGAGCTTGAACCACCGACCTGGAAGTTCAAACTGACTTTGCAGTCCAGCACATTAACCCACAGCACCACACGAGAACTCAATCTCTATGTATATACATACACATAGCATCAATCCTTTGATATGCAAATTTGTATGGTGCTGTTAAGTCTGTTTCAACTCATATCAACCTTAAATTGGGTGTTCGAAGAGCTGCTGATGAGTTTGAATCATGAACCTTGCAGTGAGCAATCCAGTGCTTACCCTACAGAGCAACATGAAGACTCTGGAAATTGTATATATAAAGCCAAAACTTCCCATAAATGTTATCTAGTTGCAAATTTCAGTTTTTAAAACACAATGTTCAAAGAACTATAAAAGTAAAAATTTAAAAGTTAATATAAGCAATCTTATATTACTGTAGTAACAGATGTTTATTGTTTTTAACAGTAATAACCTTCTCATTTTATGTTTAGTCTTTAATAAGTAGCTAGTTTTCCTAAATATCATTGTAAACACCAGTTACTTTACTGCAATGCTAAACAATATTTACAAATGTTGTCCTATAATTATTATTAAATATTCCTTAGTGTATGTTACTCATTGTACTCTAAGAGAAATCTAAAATACAGTGAAAATTCCAAGGACTAAACAAGAATTAGCAATAAATAATAAACTTATTGGTTTCAGCTAGCTCCCTTTCCCCACTACCATGAAAATTCTAGAAAATCATGAAACAAGCAAATGATGGCTTTTAAAAAAAAAAAAAAGGAACCCTATTAGAAGCTGTTTCTCTTAAATAAAGTGACAGCATTTCTATAGTGGGCAAGCAATAAATACAAAGAGAATCTTACTTTTAGCAAATATATCAACTGGTGATCCATCAGGCAATAGCCAAGGCCAGCCTTTGAATTGCCATGCAGGACCTTGAACAAAAACTGCTACAACTCGGTCCCTACAAATTAAAAGAAGAAAGGGGAGAGGAATGTCTCAAATTGAACTTTAGCTACTGTAAATCCCTAAAGATTCATAATTTTTTTCATTTTAGTGTTCATACATAGTCCATTAACAAAACTTTTCATTATAATGCTATCATCTGAGCATATTAATGATTGCTATATTCTACCAGCATCTTTTTACCTAAATCTTTTAAAAATAATTACATGCACAATCTTAAATATGTTTTTAGCCATTTCTCTCTGCCATTCTATTAAGTAGAAATCTTTTTAATGCAAAAGGGAAGAGTAGTTGATATATTAAATGGAAAAAGTTTGTTTTACAGGGAAGTCATTAAAATTCAAGCACATATTATTTTGCTTTAATTAAAATCATTAACTTACAGTAATCCACCAAATAGTTTACAAAGCCTTATCTTTGCGTTCTGTGATTGCTTGAGAATTGAGCAAAATGATCATTGGTACTTTTTTAAAATTTTACAGCTATCTCAAACTTGCCTTAATTTTTATAGTCAATATTTTCTAAGCAACTTGTTTTTCCAACGATTCAACTTAGATCTCCTAAAATGAAATCTGTCTACTCCTCGTATTCCATAAATTTACAAACTGAAAATTTCTAGATTTTACAGATTGAAAAATTATAGTAAGGACAACTGCTAAAACAGTTAAAAGTTACAATTAACTCTCCAAAATACAAATGTATTTGGGAACTGTTAGAATAAGGAACTCAAGGTAGCACAGTGGATTACAAGTTGGGCTGCTAACCAAAAGGTCAGCGGTTTGAATCTACCACTCACACTGTTGAAGATAGATGAGGCTTCTGTAAAGATTACAGCCCTGGAACCCCGTACAGGGTCATTATGAGTCAGAATCCACTACGGCACAAAACTGCCACCAACAACCACTGTTAAAATGTTACTTTTTATCGATAACTAAATTAGATCTATAGACATAAACAAAGGTTTGAAGGATAGTTTTATTTAGATACAATGATAAAACCTACTACTAGTTCACTTAATAAAATAATTTAACAATATGCATAGAAAAATCAACAACATAAAACATAAATTATCTTACCAGTCTTGAGGCATAAGTTTAAGAGGTTGGTCTACTACTCTATAAGGAACTGTTACGCTAATTGCATTGCCCCCTGGCTGCATCTGGTCTTTTCTTCTCTGGATTAGAGTTTCATTTTCACGTTGGCAGCCTTGTTTCTTCTTCTCATCTGATGGGACAAATCTTTGCAAAGAAATGAGAAAAAGACAAGTATATTAAAATGTGATGTATCTGAGAAAACAAACTATTTTCAAGTGTTTTTAAAATACTGATAGTCTTAAATCAAAATAAACATTTTATTTATAGAGAGTATATGAAGAATTAAGGAAGACTCATTTAACAATCTGTAATATGCAAATGATACAATTTTGCTAGCTGAAAGCTAAAAAAGATTTGAAGCGCTTACTAATAAAGACCAAAGCCTTCAATACAGAGTATACTTTAACTTAAAGAAAACAGAAATCCTCACAACAAGCAACATCATGGTAAACAAAGTTAATCGTTCTCAAAGATTTCATTTTACTTGGATTCATAATCAATGACTTCTGGAAGATGAAAGACTAGGAAGATGCACTGTACAGAACCTCTACAATAAAGATACTAGCCCAAATTACACTCACACACGCACAGATACACACAGGTGAAAGTCCTCGAACTCAATTTCAGAGGAAAAGTTACAGAAGTGGATTGAATGCTTGCTGGGAGAAGCTGCGCAAGTGAGAGAAAGAGACTAACAAGTGAATGGTCAGGCAGACATGGTGCAAATCTTCTTTTTGTATTATTATTTACTTATTTATTTATTTTACGTGGTTGATTTTTTTTTTTTTT